AGCCATGGATCTTTACTCCGTAATGGGCAACACAATGTGATGGTAGCTTTATGTATATGAACATAATTTAATAGCGGGGCAATTAACGGCCATGGTGGATTAGCCCACGCATTATGTTGGGAGAGGTGTATTTGAAAGGCGTCTTCCATAGGATGATTTAAAGTCCTGTAATTCGATAGTTGTGCATTTTGATGTGCAGCAAACATATCTATGGTATGTGGCCCATATATCTTTTGAGCCAGTTCAAACCACCTGGGATTACACTTCCAGTCAGTGGCTAGTAACTCACGTACGGATTTATTAAAGTCCGGTACGAAGCGTGATAACATATCCGGTAAATGGTTGTGTATACCTGGCAGATGTTTTATATCAAAATCAAACTTTGATATTGTATCATGCCAGTGACTCAGTAATTGCGAGTCGGGTTTCATCTCTTTTATATATTGAAGAGATTTCTGATCACACATCAGCGTAAATGCTGTTCCGTATAAGTAGTCTCGGAAGTATGTTAGAGCTGCGACTATGGCTAATAGCTCTTGTTTAACAGTTGGATAATTCAACTGTGAAGCATTCATTGCTCGACTAAAGAATTGTATATATCTAGGTTTGTTATCTATAACCTGAAATAATACTCCTCCTAAGGCTAAGTCTGATGCGTCCGTTGCTATTTCAAACGGCACGCCATCGACTGGCCCTTGTACAACTGGGGCTTGTTGGACTGTGTGTTTGAGCGCTTTAAATGCGTCATCACACTCTTTAGTCCACAAGTCTCCTAGTTTGCCTTTATGACATCTTAAGTGTCCAAAAGATTTAAGGTAGTCAGCTAAGTGTGGTACTCCATCTGAAAAGAAGTTTACAAACCCACACATGCTGTTAACATCTCTTCCTGTAGTTGGTGTTCGCCAATCTAACAGGTGTTCTACCTTACCGGGGTCAATCTTAATACCTTCCCCAGATATATAGTAGCCTAAGAGCTGTATTTCGCTCATTTCGAAGTGACATTTCTTCTCGTTAATCTTGAAGTTTTGCTCATTGAGTCTCTTAAGGACTCATCTGACTAATGCGGCGTGTTCATATCTAAACATACTCTGACTTTCTTAAACGATCCGTCAGAGTTATGTTGGTCTACGGCTAGCAGTGCCAAGTTAACTGGCGTTTGTTGATAGTTAATTTCTATCACACCATCTGCTAGCCATTTCTCAACTTGTTCTTTTACAACAGCCTCGTGTCTCCAGGATACATAGTTCCTTGAGGGACACTTAAACTGTGTAAAGTCCACCTTGGTTAAGTCAAGGCTGACATATCCGTCGTTAAAACGGAATTTTGCCCAATCTGTGACCTTTATTTTCTTATTAACAAGAATCAGATCCATGATATTGTCCGCAAAGTCAGGTATTAATGCCTTGACTGTGTCTGACGGGGGCTTATATGGATTCAGACAGCTATCGTCTGATTGATCCTTTAATGGATCTATGTTAGTTGGTAGACCAGTTACGGTTATACCTAGAGTGAGTAAATCACTCATTCCGACTATAATGTCGTACTTCTGTGACATCTTAACTATCACAGCTTGAGTAGTGATACTCCTATCATCGGCCAGGGAGATTTTAACATTTGTGGCGATGGTATCACACGTAGCAGTTTTATCATCAGCTAAAATGAGATGAGTTGTTTGTGTACTCCTTTCGATATCTTTCATTAATGCAAAGCGATCGGATATACATGAAATATCTGAACCAGGATCAATCAACGCAAGGATTTTATTTACATTGCAATATACAGGGATTATTACACGCTCATCTAAAGAGTCGTTGTATTGTCTGTGTAATGATTGTACCTGGTAGTACCGTCACTCCAACTTAATGTTGGGCTTTCGGTCACAAGACTTAGAGTGATAACCATTGGTCTTCTCACACTTGTCACACTTAGTAAGAAAGTGTGTACAGGTGGATGCATGTCTACCATTCCAATAACCGTTAGGGGTTAACTGGTACATGTCATACCCACACTGGGCGTCGGTACATCTCTTAATCTCTTTAAATGGAGGTTCCATGTCCCTCGCTCCTGCGCGTGCCCGTTTATTGGGTCGCGTGGTTAAAGTGGATTCGCGAGCACGTGTATGTTGGGGTCTCTCGTTTGAGGTCTGCCTGGATACGTA